ACACACATATAGAAAATGTTTGAAAGGAATGAAGGCTAATAGGAAAAAAAACATAAGAAAGGAAAACAAGTTATTTCGGCGCCTTCCGCGATACATATTTTTGTGGTACTATAAAAGCTACAACGCCGCGGAATTTTTATTTTTATTTTTGTGATAAGTTCCCGCGCCAGGAACTGAATTAGATTTGATAATCACTCTCTTATGAATCATCTGGGACTTAATAAGATTAAAGCTATAATCCTTAAAATAAGAAAATCAAATCTTAAATTTTTGTTTTGAATTATTTTTGTCCAGCTTGGACAAATTCAGTTGATGAATTGCGGGCTTTTTTTACTGATCATACAAATATGTGCACAGCTATTGTATTTACAAAAAAAAAAAAAGTATAGAATTGTTTGCGTAAGTGTTGGACGGAGCTCAAGATGGAAGGAGAGAAGAATCAATGGCATTAATACAGATTCATGAATAAAATTAAATCAAATAGATTAAGGATTTGGGCAATTATCATAATTTCTCAAAAATTTTAATTTATAAATAGTCATTCTTATATATTGTATGATTTTATATGGTTTTGTTTTTTTAATAGCTATTTTGTTAATGGTTTTTATGGGAATATTTCTAGGAGAATTTTCATACATACCAAACAATTTTTATGAATTTACATATTTAACACCTAAAGTTTGATGTTTACATTTATAAAACTTTGATAGCATAAACTTTTGCATGAAAATGTGTATTTCACTTTTAAAAGTTAGTAATAGTAGTATTATGTAATGTTAAGAATCTGAGTATTATGTATATAAATATGAAAGTTTAGGTATTAGATATGTAAATATATAAGAATATGTATGTAAATTCCACTAACTTTTAAGATTGTTGTATGTATGTAAATTCCACTAACTTTTAAGATGTAGAAGTACTAGTATTTTTTCACCTTGTTTTAATTCTACATATTTCTTGTTGACATCAACAATAGATATATAGTTTTCATTATTAGCAGTCTTTTTTTTTTTGAATATTTTCATGCAAATCAATCAAATCATACAACTGACTAATGGATTATGCAGCAAACAATGATGATCCCATACTATTATGCTTCCTAATGAATTTTTTGAGAGACCCATACTTAATCCTTACAAGACAAGATGGTGAAGAAAACTTAAAATTGTCTAATTAAACAAATATGATATGGCCTCACCTCATATTTAAAGAAAACAAACTCAAACAACTTAAAAGCTTAGTGTAATAAATATTGCGTTTTTTAGGTTTGCCCAGATATATAGAGTTTAAAATTTCAATTTTTTTAGGGCAATCATTATTAATCAATCGTTTGAAATATTAATGCAATTTTACTAATCTTCATAAATTACTTGCAATTTGATTTGTGGAGATTATTTCGTTTGACACTTTAGTTGGAGTTGAATCATAAGATTCTTTAATTTATTTATCAACTACAGGGGACGTGATTGGTTTAGTTTTGACTTTTGTGGATGAACTCAATTTCTATTAGAATTTTATGTTTAGATATTGTCCCATATTTAATTTTAGTTTAAACTCATACTCTAGACTTTTTCTCAATTTTAGGTTTTAATTAATGAATGCATTTTAATACAGATGCAAATTTAGATTCAACATGATAAAAAATAGATCCTTGTAACTACAAGGCATCCTTTTCTTTTAATATATTCTTCAAATTATATTCATGAAAAATTGTCTCTTCAATATGACTAAATCTATCAGCAAATAATTCTTGTATTGATGTATGTTAGAGAGATTTTAGAGGAGATTAATGAATTTCTTCGTTGAGTTTAAGTATTGACACCTTTACTTGGTGATGCAAAAGCATTAAGTAAAATTTTATTAGACTAAAACATCCCCAATAATCTTGTGAAACTAAATGATAGCTTAGGAAAGTAAAGAAACAATTATAAGTCCCTTTTGCACAACAAAAAAAAAAAGAAGAAGCAACAGCAACAACTTCATGTTGCTACCCCTTTCTTGTTATGGCAGGCCTTTCCCTTCCCAAAGAGGCCACATGAATCCTGCAAGAACTTACAAGGAAACAACAAGATTGCAAGAACCAATATTGGCTTGGATTTCCTGCCTCTTAATGCAGCTGTTGCTATGCCTTTCTTCCCTATTTTCTTGAATGTACAAGAAGAACCGAGCCTAGGAAACCGTAGGAGAAGTTTTAGGGGTTCTGGGGATTGATTGCAGAGTAGTCGTTGATCTGTTACAATCTCCTTTCCCATCTCTGCAGAACTTGGGAAAATCCTTTCCCGAAGGTAACCTAATTATTTTAAAAAACTGCCTACTAATCAATCAGAACGGGGAATTTATAGGCCAGCTCTTGTTATAATTATAAACTCTTATCTACATATTTACTCCTTCGAAAAGATTGAAAAAGGAAAACTAGTTCAAATAAAGAAAGATTATTATAAAATGGATCCTCTAGAGTATTTGCTATTATAATTATGTCAAGCACAGATGTAGTAGTTTGTACGCATGAATAGTTGTAATATTTCTAAATATCCAAAGATCTTTATAAGCCTCATCTAATGTTTTTGAAGTATTGTAGCTTTGATGAATACTGTAATGTCTGACCAAGTCGATTAATAAATCATATAATGGTAACATAATAGGCTAATAGCAAATATTATTTGGCTATGAAAGTTTTAAATCTTGCATAATGTTCAAATACACTATAATTTTCTTGTCTGTAATTCTTAAATTGATTTTACTATTGATCCCTGGAATTATTGGTTGACAATATTGCTCACTAAGTTTGTGCCATCATCAACTCATATAGTTTTGACAACATTCTCCCAAAAATGATTAAGCATGTTTCATTATTTTGATTTAGCACATTCAGATTATTGGGAATTAGATTGCATGATTCAAAGAAAACTTTTAAAAGTATCAATTCAATTGATAACTTTTAAGTTGTTATCTTCCATCAAAAATAGAAATATAATTTTGATTTTTGAACCTTATGATAGTTGTTCTATAATTGTCTAGAGCTATAGATTAACTTATTCTGTTGGAATTTCAATTTTTTGTTATTTTTATTATTGACTCAATTATATTGTCTAACTTCTAGTTGACATGCTGATATGCCTTAGGCTTTTTTATAAATTATGATACTTGGCATCTTTCAATACATTTTTTCTTTTTAAATCTTGAATGAAATGCAAAATCTTGCTTATAAATTAAATTTGCAATGCATGCTCTTAATTTAAGCAAGAAAAACTACTTTGATGAACATTAGAATAACATGCAAAATTTGCACCAAATGACAATTTAATGATAACTTAAATGGAAATTTTGCATTAAATTTAACACTGATTACTACCATTTGTTGATCGGAAACTCATACTGCAATTGAAAAGTTTAGATTGTGTATGTTTTAAAAATAATTAATGTAGTTCAAGCAAATCAATTTTTAATTTTACACCACATAATGAGAAAAAATGTCTCTAAATAACAATGTAGTCCTCATGTTGGTAGAAGTATATAATTACTCTTGTAATCACCAATTGCATCATACTAGAATGCTTTACATTCACTTGGCACAGAAATTTGAGGGATCACAATTTTTTATCCAGCAAAACTTTTTTTTAACAAGGCTCAAAGTTCTTTATTTTATTCACAAAATTTTAGTGTGCAACTTTGATCCATCTGGAAATCCCTTCAAGATACACCTGGATTCAATACATACGTAGGCCAAAAAAAAAAAAAAAATCAATAAAAATGGCATAAATAATGAAATCCAATGAAGCTGCGACATCACAATTATAAAATCAACCAGATTTAGTGCACGGTCTTGCGAGGGACAAAACCACGAGTTGAAAGAGCTCCACTATGTCGTCAACAATGAGTCATAACTACCCTTGAGAAATAGAGGTCTGAAATTATATGCAGAACTAAATTCGCACAAACTAATATCAAATTTAATTTCAAACAAAAAGCCTAATAGCAAGCCAGCTCTGAATAACACCAATTAAAGGTCCAAGTTCCTTGCAAGCCCAAGCTACATGAAACTCCATTAGCAGAATTGAATATGAAAGTTGATCCATAAGGGCAATCTGAACTAGGGATCAACGATTTGACCGTTTCAAATCAAAACCAACTTAGGTAACCCAATTAAATTAGAGAATAGTTTGAAATAATAGAGAACACCACCTAGGGTATTGAGCCAAGCTGATTTGTGAGCTTGGGCTCGACTCGATAAATGGCTTGCGAGCTCAGTGCGATGAGCTAGCAAGCCTAGCTCAAGCCAACCTCGACTCGACTCGTTAGCTCATGAGTCGGCTCATTTAAAAAATATTAATATAGAATTCATTTAAAATATGATAAAATTCAAAACTTTATCTATAAATTATTAAAATTATTTAAAAATTTGTATATAATATTTTATGTCGAGTGATTTCTTATTATTTATCTCATAATTTCCCATTCTAGCTATCGTTTTTTTATAATACTAGTTTGAGTTAATATTGTTTTTTCTCTTTCATAATAAACAAGTTGGCTTGTAAGCTGGCTTGAATTTGTAGAATTAAACTCAAGCTCGGGCTCAAACTTGATTAATTAATCAAGCTCAAGCTCAAGTCAGGAGTGGTTGGAGCTCGGCTCGATTTACACCTCTAATATCACCTGGTCTCATAATAATCATCACATGCATGGTAAAACTATATCTATAATCCTTAAATATCAAAGAAACTGAAGTAAATTTAGAACTCAAAATGTTGATTTGCATCAGCTCGACTGTGATTATGAAATATAAATCTATTTCATTTTATTTTATTTTTAAAATTAAGAGAGTTTCAACAGTTCTATTTCATGAATTCTTTATGGCATTTTGGTTAATAGTCTGCCTTCTGCGGCACTTGGCATCTGTTTATTCTTATGCATTGCTATAAGCTGTACGTTTTTGTTGTGGAATCAAACGTACATGGTTTTCTTTCCAAATTAATTGTAGTATACTCATATGTTTTCTTCAGGCCAACATGAAGTTCTTGCATCAGGTCCTATTGAAGATCTGATAACCCACCGTGAACATAGGTGAATGCTGGATTTTTCCTGAAAATTATGCATGTACTTTCCTTCTTTTATTGTTTGACATGCAAGCATTATCATTAGGTATCGAATTTCTGGATCATCATTGGCTGCTGCCATGGATTTAAGTTGCAATATTCCACATTCAGATTTGTTGGCTACTACTTGCACTGGAAAAATGCTGCCATCCCTTGATACCATTGAACAAAGTGATTTACCTCAGTTCCAAGGGAACTCTCAAATTCTTTCTAGAACAGATGATAGGGATGGAAGAGTTAACCATACTGTTGACGTAGCTGAAATTCTTAGACGGTGGACTCACGCGTTACAACATATCCATAAACAATCACTGCATATGGTATTATGTTTTCTTTGTATGCTAATCTATTACCATTCTATAACCCAGCCCGAGTAGTAATTACTTTTGCTTGCATTAAACGCAAACTTCTTGAAATTTTTTATTTTGTTTTATTTGCCTGTGAATAATAAGGGATTCTATATTGATGCAAAGCATCATTCTGCAGTATTTTATTTTCAGAGGCTTTTTGGATTTTTTTAAGTAGTGTAATTGATTAAAATTCTTTTTTGCCTTGAGGATATTTAATCAGTCTGCAATTTTAAGTCGTGTAATATATTTTTGACTCTTTCAACTAAAATTACTGCTGCGAAGGTTTGCACAAATAGCATGTTCTGTGATGTTACCATTATCCCGATTTTTGTCATGAAAAGCTGGCCTGAGTTCCAGGATTTCATAATTAACCATCGAGATTGAGTTCAATCCTTTGTCCAGGCATCTGTATTTGATCTTGAATTTTGCGCAAACTGCTTTTGACTTCTTTGATACAGATTTCTATTAGGCATTTTACTCTTAATTGGCATTAAATGAAGGAATCTTTTTTTTTTCTTTTGCTGAGCTCCATTTGTTAACCATATTGAATACTTCGAAAAATTTATTAGGATATGTTATAGTTATACACAGAGAAAACATTGGAATCGATGTATCTAACTGTAAGCCAATAGTAGAATGTTCAAGAATAAAAGAATGTTCTCATGATTATGTGCAGAAACCAGTATTTATCTTCAGCAGCAGAAGTTTTACTTCTTAAAGTGTTGTGCTTGTTTCAAAATTCAATCCAGTCCCAAAAGTGGGAACTAGCGGTACGTGCTAGATCTAGTTAGCTTTATTGCGTGAATGCATACATTAATATCATTATTAGTCATGGCCAACTTATTTAGGGTTGGAATACAAATTAGTAAAACTTTATTTCTGTTTATAGATAAGATAATTACGTGATCATTCATAGATAGGTTATTGTTTTCAGAGAGAGAGTTTGTTTTCTATTTATAGCCCTCAACGCTTTTAAATGGTTGCAGTGTTTAGAACCAGTTAGAACTTTTTTTTTCTATATCATCGTTAATATATTATTTATGATGGACAGAGATGAATTTTTACTCTATATAGTTATAAGAAAATGAATAAAATGGCCCCTTTATTGTTATTGCGTGATCATTCTAGTCTCAAATTATATAAAAACCCCGATTTAGGCCCTAGTTTTTTTAAAAGGGGACCAAAAGTCTAAACTACTGGAAATTGATGTTAATGGTTTTATAAGGGTATTTTTAGGAAAATATATTCTTCCTTATTTTTTTAGTAAATCTAATTTCTTATTTATCTTATGTCCTTGTGTACAACATTTAAATTTGCATATATTAGGAGTGAATGTTGATTGTTGGTCGGAAAGAGTTTTTAATTTTTGTAATATATAATTTTGTCTGTCTTTTTTTCATCTTGATTCTTCATATAGCACAATACATTGATTTTATTTTCTTGCTACACTGAATGCAAACTAACAAAATATAAAACTGTAGAATCCATAATTATATCAATGTAGACTTCCACTTCTCTGCTTCTGATTTTCTCAAAAATTAACCCATAACCAGGGGTCTTCTTAAGAAACTTTAGAATCCTGTAAGCCATATCTAAATGCTATTCATTTGGATTATTCATGTGTTTTCTTACAATACTGATAGAATATGCTATATCTAGCCTAGTATGTGACTGATATGAGTTTTTATACCAATTCCTGTTATTTGAGAGGTTATTTGAGCTCTCTCTTGGGTCAGAATTGGAAGGACCATGTGTAGGCTCATGAGGCTCTTAACTTGGAGTTCATGCATAAGATCCAGTAACAACAACACCACCGAATATCTGGTCTAGTTTCTTCTATAGTTTGAGATCTATGCCATAATATCTGAATTTTTGGATATTTGACATTATCTGCAGTTTATCGAACATAGATGTGAACTATAAGCAGACATATATACTTACTGAATAATACGAATGAAGTGTGCAAATTAATATAAAATAATTATTTGAATTTAATTGTAGTTTCTCTTGCCACCACTCATCTAGTGCATCAATGGACTTCTTTATAGAATCCAACCAACCCAATTGATCTTTATTTTAACTTCTTTCGTAATTTTCAATCTTTCTTCAATTGATCCTGTTTACTTTTTTTTTTTTTTATGTTGTACTCTTTACTAATTCTCTCTTTGCAGTTTGTGGTAATATTCTTCCAACTCTCTTTATTAAAGTGAGTTTTTGGTTGATTGCCTAATTTCACTTCATTCAAACATGTGTCACAAAAGATTATCTTCACATCATGTTCTCAATTGACACTTGCTCCAAACTCTCTTTGATTTTCTGTTGCAAATGACTATAAAGGAACAACAAAATAAAAATACGTTAAACTCATAAAAATTTGAGCAGTGTTTTACTTCAAAAAAATGATAAATGAAAGAGACATTTGACCATAAATTGTTGAATTCACTATAATAGTAATTGACTGGTCCCACAAAAGTAATAAGTGGTATTTACGTACATACCACATAAATCATATGAATTTATATTATAAAAATTTCATATGAACCTATGTATTTTCATTTAATGAACCAATTCATTTAAAAATGGAGTTTGTATGTATTAAAATGTCTAAAACCTAAACATTCATGTCTAATGCCCCAAACATTTGTATGAATTATGTGGTATGTTTGTGAATGAGTTGAATCATAACCAAGGGCTCAAACTAAAAAGTTCAGCATTGGTGCCCTCACAAAAATTGGAGACGCATCTTCGATCCAGGCAAGAAAATTTGAAGTCATAATTAGAATCATGCATGTGTGGCAAGCATATCAATTACATTTGAATAAACCTCATCAAAATGCTCTCAAGTGGCAGCGAAGAGAGAATAAATATCCCCATTTCAATTGTGTTATACCTACTGTGACTTTGTTGCATCATAGCCCCAAATCAGAAAATATTAAATGCTCTTTTACAAGTTGCTGGATAGCCTACCTGATACTGAAACTAGTAGAAAGAACAATTGGATAAAAACAAACTTTTATTAATATGGAAATAGGATTACAACCCGACTCAAATAGAAAGAAAATACAATAATGGGTGAATCCTCTGGTTAGGGATGTAGGAAGATGTCCGAAGGTGGTGGCATTGGGGACAGCTATTTATAGCCTCCTTCAGATCACCACCTTCAGCCAAGCAATCACTTGCAATTTCTACCGCCAATAAGGGTGCCTAAGGAGGAAATAATAGAATTGGACAAGGAACCGATAGAGCAGATCAGAGCGGGAAGAAGCAATAGAAAGGTAGTTCCTCAATATAGTGCCAGTTAGGAAGTGTTTCTGGTGTTACAACTTCTTTTACATAGCCTCCAGCTGCCCAACAAGCCGAGTTGTCACACTTACATATCATGGTGATATCAAGGAAGTCGATGAGAGGAGAGTCCAGAAGATCTTTAGCTCCACGAAGACATCAAGGAAGTCGATGAGGAATTAGAGGAGAGTCCAGAAGATCTTTAGCTCCACGAAGACGAAGGGGAAGCACTAGTCGTTCTGTGAATACTACAGTCCGAGTCCGCACGAAACCATTTTTGGCTACGACACATTTTTTACACCATGTGCACCGACAAGTGGAAGGTATGCAGCCTAATCACAGACACTGGGAGTTGAGAGAACGTGGTGTCCACGCTCATGATAAAAAAGTTAGGATTGGACACAAAAGCGTCTGCAATCATGTTCTTTTACTTGGCTGAAGATGGGCAATGAGATACGTGAGGATTAGCAGTCCCTAGTTTACTTCTCCATCAGAGATCAACTCCACGAACAGGTATGTTCCGACATTGTTCCTATGGATGCCTGCCACTTTCTGTTAGGTTGTCCTTGGCAGATGATCACAAGACTCAACACGAAATGTTCAAAAACACTTACTTTTTCAAGAAGGATGGGAAACATATATTTTTACTATCTGCTAAGAATGTAAGAGGCGCGAGCAATATAGAGACAACATTAATTTCTTGTACCACTTTTCTGCAATAAGTTAGAGATGCTCCTGTAACACTAGCATTAGTCCTTCTGGAAGAAAGCAAGGAAGGACGAGAGGTACCAGAACTACTACTAACATTGATACAGGACTTTTAGGATGTTATGACTGCTTACCAGAGGGATTACTGCCACTAAGAGACATTCAACACGCCTTCTACCTTATATCGGGATCGGTATTGTCAAACTAACCAACCTACAGATTAAGACCTGCAGAGTATGAAGAACTACAATGAGAAGTTCGGGACCTCATTGCAAGAGGACTAGTCAGATAAAGCACCAATCCGTGTGCAGTCCCGACCTTGATGGTACCAAAAAAGGATGGATCATAGCGAATGTGCATCGACAACCGAACCATCAACAAGATTACCATTAATTACCGATTTCCCATACCCCGCATGGAAGATCTCTTAGACCAACTACATGGATTCACTATCTTCTCTAAGAACGACTTGTGCAACGGATATCACCAGATACAGATGAGGCCAGGAGATGAGTGGAAGACTGCCTTGAAGATGGGGGATGCACTTTATGGGTGGACTATTATGCTTTTCGGTCTGTCAAACACACCTAGTACCCTCATGAGATTAATGAACCAATTATTCCGACCTCACATTAGAAATTTTGTCATTGTCCACTTTCGTGACATTCTATTATACAACCAATCAGAGAAGGATCACTTGCATCATCTCAAGGCAGTATTCAAGGTACCGCGAGCTGAGCAACTATATGCTTGTTTGAAGAAATGTCACTTCATGATGAGTTAGGTATGCTTTCTGGGTTGCATCGTGTATAGTGCAGACATTCAGATGGATCTCGTAAAGATAGAGATCATTATCAACTGTGTGATACCACAATCATTCACCGAGCTGAGACAATTTTCGGGGCTAGCATCCTTCTATCGAAGATTCATCAAAAACTTCAGCACTATCACCTCCCTTCTGAGTAAAGGAGTTTTCTTGGACAACAACAACCTAGGATAGTTTTGATATACCGAAAGAAAATGTGACTCAGACACCCGTTCTAGCACTACCCGGCTTCAACCAACATTTTGAGATAAATTGGGATGCCTCCGGCGTGGGGATCGGAGCAGTACTAGGCCAAGGTGAACACCCCATCATTTTCTCCAGTGATAAGTTGAATAAATCTAGGAGGAAATACTCAAACTTACGAGAAAGAATTCTCCGCCATCCTACGAGCTCGAGAACTCTACAATCATTACCTATTGACAGACGAGTTTACACTATTTATAGATCATGAGGCCCTAAAATTCCTTAAGATCTAGAGCAAACTAAAGGAACGACACGCCACTTGGGTGGAATTTCTAGCCTAATTCCAGTTCATGCTAAAACACAAGGCGGGAAGTCAGAACCGCGTAGTCGATGCACTGAGTCGTCGCACCTTTTGATCACATCCATGCAGGCTTGAGTTGTGAGCTTCGAGATCATAAAGGATCTATATGAAACAACCAAAGATTTCATGAACATATGAGAACAATGTCAAGAAAAGTCAGAAGGGCAATATTACCGCACAGATGGTTACCTGTTCCACCATGGTCAATTGTGCATTCCCCGGTGTTCACTAAGGGATGCCATTGTCCAAGAAGGCCACAGAGGAGGACTAGCAGGTCATTTCGGCAGGGTCAAGATCCGGCCCTCTTAAGATAGCCTTTTTTTGGCCAAAACTAATAAGAGATGTAGAACATGTCAAGCAATGCATGATTTATCCTAGCCCAAGCTTAGTTTGCCTATAACCTATCCATCAGCCAAACTGCTAGACGAACTCCCTTTGAGATTGTGTACGGACACAATCCACTCACACCACTGGAATTGGTACCGCACTGTTGACCTCATTTTTAGTGAGGTCTTGGTCTTCTACTCTTAACAAAACAACTTCACGAGATTCAAAAGCTCCATAAAGAAGTTGGCAAGAAAATTGCTAAGTAGAATATAAAATACCAAACACATGCAATTAAATCCAGAAAGAAAGTAATGTTTTAGGAAGGCGACCTCGTATGAATTCGATTGAAAAAGGAAAGCTTTCCCACAGGATCATTCAGGAAGCTTATGCCGAGTGCAGATGAATCATTCATAATACTTCGGAAGATGAACGACAACGTTTACAAGATCGACTTGCCTGGGGACTACAACATTTTAGCAATGTTCAACATCACCGTCTTAATGCAACACTTTGACGAACTTAGAGCTTCAACAAAAGAGGTTGAAGCTTCCCCAACCCTAGGGGACTGATGTAGGCGCTGAATGCGTCTACGGAACAACGGGGAGGATGGGATCGTGATCCCGCACAATGGAGAAGGAAGTGAATCGCGAACCTTGCAATCCAGGGGCTGCTTCGCTTGTCTTCCACAGTCGTCTTCTTTTGAAAGAGTTTCTCTTATGGATTCTTCTTACCTACCCACTTCTCTTCCTTTTGTGTAGAAGTAGGAGGATATAAATAGATGTTCCCTGTGTAGGAGATAGTTCTAGTAGAGTTTTAATCTCATGTGTGGAGTCTCTTCCTTCTTGTTAGGGTTGTATTCGATGATAAGTGATGCTTCGGCTGTATCCTGCTCCGAGGTGGGGTTGCAAACTTCAAATCAAATTCACTACTTCTCACCAACCGCTTTTCCTACATCTCCCCTAGCTGCCTACCACCCCCATGCACCTCCACCACTCTACTGCCACTCCCACTTCCTCCACAATCTTGTTGTCCTACCTACCTACAACCAACCAAACACTATCACAAACTTACCTAATCAACCACCCAAACTTTCTCATCTTGACTTACTGCCCTGTCGACAACGCCACAGTGTTCGAATATTTTCCTACATCTCTAACCGGAGGATTCGCCTATTATTGTATTTTTTTTCTATTGAGTTAGGTCGTAATCTATTTTTATAATAATAAAAGTTTGTTTTTGTTTCACTATTCTTCCTATTAATTCCGGTGTCACTACCATCCTTTGTCAAATGAGGGTACAAACATAGAATAGCTCCCATGATCAGTATGACAGATTTGTTGGCAAGAACAATTGAAAGTCAATCATAATGAAGCTAATCAACACCATAGCCAGCTCAATTTAAGCAAAAGAAAATCAATCGCTGAACTTTGTTTTATTGGAACACACAATTCTAATCTATATACATATATCGCACCTAAACATTCATATTTGAACACATATCTATCAAATCTTTAGGTTTATGGTATTAATGCATCATAAGTATCAAACTTTATATATTAGATGTGTTGCTACATAACACTTGTGAGTATGGAAGTAAAATTTCATATTTTTTTCAAACCAATATGCTCATGGACAAATTATTCCAATAGAGACATCAAGCATTGAAATTATCATATCACCGAAAACTCTAGAATAAATATCAAACATTCAAATCACGCTATCACCGAAATTTAAATTGCTATAAACATGGAGCATTAAAATCGCGATGTCATCAATTTACTCCAACAATAAAAGTAAGGAAACTGAGATCATCATCAACCATTCAAGCAACCACAAATAACCATTTAAGGTATGCATGTGTAGGTTTTGGGAGGGAAAATATAATTATTTTTCTTCAATGTCCTAAGACTCTATTAGAAGATAAATAACAGGGGAAGACCACCATATTAGGAAAGCCACAAAATCTTCATGCTGGAAAAAGAAAAAAAAAATTACCAACAATAGCTAATTCTAAAAGTAGAAACTACTAAAAATAGAAAATAATAAATATAGAAGATACCAAAAGCAGAAATTCTTAAAATTCCAACACAATATTAACCTACGAACAATAGTAGAGAATCATATTTTACGGAATGCATTAGTTCAAAAACATCCCCCTCCCCTGCTAAACTTCTAATTCTTTCCTCCAAAAAGGAAAATTCACCCGCAATGACCGCAACCGAATAACTCCACATCGACAAAAAACTTGTCAAACCATGGTTACTGAAACAAACGACAACCAAATGCCTCTACATAGACAAAAAAGCATCCCAAATGATGACAACCGAAATAAAAAATCAAATTCCTCCACATCGATAGAAACCATCCCATATGATGGCAACCGAAACAAATTGTAACAAGGAGGGAACTTTTTTCAGTCCTCTATCAAGAAGAAATATCATACAATGTTTGAAATAACTTTCCTAACCCTCAACGACAGATGCGAAAGAGAATAAAGAACAACTCAGAAAAAAGAATGAGGAGGCAAACCTCCTTCGCAGCCAACAAGAGAAAATAAAAGAAAACGAGAAGAGCTCAGAATGGAGAAGAAAAAAAGAAGGAATGGCTCGGCAACTAACAACCCAAGCCCTAAAGGATTCAAGGGTAATAAGAAAGGAAAACACAGTCTCGACCCGCAGGCTGCAGTTAGGATTCAGAGGTCGCAAAACTCCGTATCATCATCCCACTTATTCAAAAAATGCAACTAACATGGAGTCCCAAATGTCATTTTTAGTGTGGTTCAAACCCTACGCATACAATAAACCGTGCCAAACGTGCATTTATTCTACAGAGATTGAACAGTGTAATCATTATTCTTTACTTTCATTATTTGCAGTTATTGCATAGTCTTATCATTCTTTCTTGATGATAGCTGCAAGCATTTCCTAGCTGAAATCTTATATATTTGGCATATACATTGTTACTTTTAATCTCTTTTTGGGCATTGATAAATATCTAATAATAACTTTTATAAATCTGAACCCTTGGCTAAGGTTATTTGGCTTGTGAGAAAGCTCAGATGATAGATTAGAGCAAAGTTAGTGATGTGTTCGTACAAGTTCCTCAGTGCAAACAATTCTGGTTAAGATTACTAAGACCGACCAAAAGTTTATTTTGCTGCAACTTTGGTTCATTAATAATTTGCATCAAGAATTTTTTATCTGCAGGTTTGACCGACCACCTATTCTGTATGTATGTATGTACATATAATGTTGATTCATGCTAATGAGAATGTTATTTCGACCATGTTGTTTCACCCTGCAATTACTATTATTGTGCAGCAGCTTCATTAATTCTTTACATAAATAATTTTATTTACACAGGCCAAAGCTAATGATGGGGAGGGTTCAGAATTACTTCACTGTTTATCTGAAAATGGTTCTAATGGTCATACAGAATCTTTGGCAGCAACACTTGCTGAACATAAACAACATTTAGTTAGTCTACAGGTGAGGTAGCTTTTTACATGTAACTCGTAGATTGCTTTTATTTTTTTTGGACTATTGAATAGCATACAAAATTACTTGAGATAGGCTGTAAGAACTCTTTTATTGCATTATATAATATTTCCGGTTGCTTTTACGTAAATAAATGGAAGCAATGCTTAACAAATAATAGTAGTAAAACGTGTTAATTTTTGTGTTTGCTTCAGTTTTTTTTTTTTTTAAGAACCCTTTTCAAGATTATGTTTCTGTATCTTAGGTCTTTGCAATTTCTGTTGAGATTCTTTCCCTGCAGAGTTGTTGTTATGATCTTTACTTGTATTTATATTTCTTCATTAGTTGTCTCTAAATGCTTCCTTGGATATTTTTGTTGCGATTGACTGAAAATGGCAATACGATGATTCTATTCTCAGAAAGAAACTTATTATAAAGCTGTGCATCAAGCACTCCCCACCACACTGAATCCTTATTGAATTGACGAGTAAAATGCCAAAATATTCTTGCATATGACCATTTTAGTCCCACATTCTATAGAAGTGCCAAATTAGTTCTCAATTTTTTTTAATGAAGGCTAAAATAGTTCTCTATTGGGACTATTTCAATCATATTAAAATAGTCTGGTGACTAAATTGACACAATTTTAACTCTGGGACTAAAATAAACCCCGTAAAAAGCTGGGAGCAGTTGACACCTAATTTTGGGTTTTACCTTGCTTTTTTACTTCAATTTTTTTTTTGCGTGAAGCAAGCCTAGTGTCACGCTCCGCCATATTTAACAAATTGGCAAGAAAATCATAGGATGAGAGATTCTAGAAAAAGGCGGATGGATGAGTGCAATCCAAGAAATTCTAGAAGACTCCATCACAATGTAGAGAACGTTAGAAGTAAAAGCTCCAAGATAATTCAAGAATAACCTTGAAGGTTCTAGGGTCATATATGCATATAAGAATTGTAGAACAACAACAACAAACAACAACAACAAAGCCTTAATCCCACTACGTGGGGTCGGCAATATAAGAATTGTAGAACAATCTAGAAAATTCTATAGAACAAGAATAATCTAATGTATTCTAGAAAATTCCCTTGGGCATGGAGGGGACTATAAATAGGAGTCACTCCCCTCATTTGTAACCATCCAAGAAAGGATCCAAGGAAACCATCCAAGTAAAGCTTCCAAGCTTTCAAGTGTTGTAGCTCTTCTCTCTTAGTGAAGTGTTACTTTTTCCAATACTTCTCTCTACTCTTCTTAGAGTGTCTTGTGCTTACAAGTTCAAGTGTTGTGAGGGATATTAGGCCGATTTAGTGCTAAAGAAAAGCGCTAAAGCCGCACGGGTGACTTGAGAAAAGTTAGTCCGTGACACTAGGCTGCGCAAGAAAATTGTGTTATTACCATATTATTGACATTGGAAAATGCGATTTTAATTATTAAATTAGAAGATTTACTTATGAGGAGGTTGAAGCTCCAGGATGTTTCCAATTTACTAGACTAAATGTAGACAAGAATTTGAAGTGCAGGAGAAATAGAACGCTCTTTTATTGCTAGGAATAAGATAAATTACATGGAAGATTGGAGATTCGCTCAACCAAAATATGGGGACTTACTCTTGACTGAGGAATCACTCTTAAGAAATCATTCAGCTTAAAACATGTAGATAATAACAGTGCCCAAACATTCCTGATACAAGGGCTTATAAAACCCAAGTAATGATTTGTAGTTTATGGGAAGTGGAGTTATTGCTTGGATTTAATAGCTGTCGGAATCAGCTACATCATCCTCCTACCCCTCGTCAAGAAAACTCATCATATAGTTTGGCCAAGGATTACCATGACCGGGCATTCTTCCAATAGATTGAAGTTAGATTAATAGTCATTCTGGTAACTAAATTTTGCTTTTCGTTCAAACTTTTCTGTGAGTTTTCATGGGGCAGTCTTCTTGTCATTGATAAATTTTGGATGTCTAGAGTCTAAGATTTACTAATGCAAATATAAGATAAGATAAATATATTTACAAAAGATCTGATGCAGCAGCTTCTTCCTCCTCTTATATTTCCTGCTCCTATTTCTTATTTTCCATTTTAAGAACTTATTTTATTTTTTTGTTCTTGTCCATTTCTTTCAAAAAGCAAACTTCCTTGCTGTCCTTTGGCAGTGTGATTGCTATTTTCACCTATTGCAGGGTGCGGCTTGGTGAGGAGGAAAAAGAAGCATGATTTTTTCCTTTCGGGCTCAATTGGTTTTTTGTTTACTTTTTAGTTCTTTTGGAGATGCACTCATCTATTTGCTTCCAATATCTAATGGTATTAGTATCCATAATGATCGATTGAGCGATGGCCGAAGGTGAGATGGACACCATTGTGTAGACGCAGATCTTATCATATAGACCCTGTTTCCTTAGATTTTTAGATGATTCTTGTTGGTGTTATTAAAAATGATTGCTACTCAACCCCCTTGAGAGGCTAGTACTCTCAACTTATACATTTACCAAATGTCCCTTCACTCTCAAACTAGTTGTGTTAGTGTAGAGCCAACGACCTCCTCACCCCGCGACCTCGCCACCTTGCGACCTCGCAAACTTACGTCTTGACGCCGTTCCTACACAAGCAACCTTGTGTTCACCTGATGCCGACAAGGATAAGGGTGCAGAATTTCAGGAAAACAACAATCAAGAATTGCTGAGAAGAATTTTGAAGATAAAGAAAATCAGAAGGAATGTTATTGATGTAAAAATAGCACAAGAATACACACTGCAAGACACCACTTGGGTTGCCAACTTCAGGATACAACTACAAGGGAGATGAACAGGTAGCCCAACCTTCCTCAAAGAAAGGAACTCACATTTCTAAAACCAAAATCTATTAAAAGTGCAAAATAATGGAGAAAATGAACTTTCATGAATTTTGATGGTTCAAGGATGGATGTAAGACAAATTGCTACCTCAATCACAATCAAGCTCAGAATGAAACAAAAATCATGCATAGGCGTAAATCTTGACCCACATAGTGTGGGCACCAATAAAACTATTTTTGAGTACTCACCAAAACTTTATATTCGGACATTGTTGACCTCATTTTTGTGAGGTCTTGTCTTCTCCTCCTTAGAGCCTAGATTCTAGCTCTAGAAATTCCTATGGACTATCTTAGAAAACTAGAATTGGGACTCACCTTTCTAGAAATTCCAACCAATTCCTATTTTCCTTTGATTTCTAGCATCTTTGGCACAAGACCATCGTCTTATGAACGAGCGGTTATGGGCTATTTTGCGAAGATTCAAGGAAAATGTTCCAAATAGGACTTCAAGCCTTAGGAAAACATCGTCAC